GAGGCCACTGCTTATCATTAAACAGCTCAAGGAGCATGGATTCATGGACTTTATGTAATCTTTGCACAAGGAAATAACAAGATACTAAAGATTTAGTCTGTCGCACACGGGAAGGTGAATAATTCATATATACAATAGAACCTCGCTGAGTGGAGGGCACTCCTGCTAGCAAACACTTATATACAAGGAAGTTATTATTGTCAAAAACCCTCATAACATGCACTAAACAGAACCTTTGGGAGAGGTCCCTGCTTAATATCAAACTTATGGAACTCAACATCAAACTTAAATGGACTCATGGAATTTGTGCAACTTTGCACAAGGGAATAAGAAACAACGACATTCTTAAATTGAGCTAAAGAAGGTCATGCCCTAAAAAGCTTCTGCAATTCCACTTAATAATAATAATAAAAAAAAAACTCTTTTGTTATATGCAAATTAGCCCACTCAGACTGATTTGCATACTCCATTTGTTCCATATACCTGAGGTGAAGCTAGTTCTAAAAGTACAGGGTAGCCCAGCATACCAAAGTTTTACGGTAAAACCTACAGCATATAAAGTGACCTGAACTAACACTAAAGCCATTAAAATTCAAAACTATTTTAAAGGCGTAAGATTCTTTTTGATATTAAACAATTTCTACTGCCCTTACTGCAATGGAAAAATTAATGAGAGGGCCTGGCTCATCAGTGGTGAACCCTCTCAGCGGTTTCGTCAGTTTAATCTACCTCTGAGAGGGTTCACCACTGATGAGCCAGGCCCTCTCATTAATTTTTCCATTGCAGTAAGGGCAGTAGAAATTGTTTAATATCAAAAAGAATCTTACGCCTTTAAAATAGTTTTGAATTTTGATAACAGATGGCGCGCTAGTGCATCATACTAAAGCCATTAATTATAAGGCAATAACACACCATCTATATATAAGGTATGAAAGCATTAAAGCACAAAGGTTTCTTTTACAAATTTACAAACAATTTATGCCTAACTTGTCTTGTCTTTATTGTTTGCGGAGGAGCATTGCTCAATGCAAATATTTATAGGTAATTCTACTGTCCCAAAAGCTTATGTCCATAGTTTGCTTGAAAAGCATTTCCAAGATTCCATCCTTCAGTGTAGCATATATAATCAGAATCGTCCAATATAGCATTAAGATCTATAAAAAGTGGTATGGTGGATTAAATTGGCAAAACCACTGGGAGGGTTCACTACTGATAAAGGGGGTCGGTGGAAGGCTGGTTAAACTGTTTGGTTTTCGACCACTACGACCCGGGTTCGATTCCCACATTGGACACTTTTTTCTGTTTAAAAAACAAAATGCTCCAATGGCCCCCGATTCTTGTAAAAGTCCAACCCCACCAGCGAAGTGCAAGTAACCAAAAGGGGCTCTGGCACATTTGTAAGTGTAAAGTCGAACTGCTTTTCACATGTGTAGACATGTGGGGCGCTTACAGTAAAAGCAGTCGCTAACTACCCACCATGATTATCATGGCTTTGAGATAAGAAAGAAGGAAGAAGACTACTGATTTACCATTTCCCTTCCCACTTTTCATCGTAGTAAGGACATTAGAAGTTTATTTTATGTGTAAAAGAAACCTTTGTGCTTTAAATCTTTCATCTCTTACTAAAGCAATTGTAGGTAGGTAGAAACTTTGAAAATTGGTATCATGGAACTGAAAGTTGGCATTTCACGATTTCTCAAGGAAATAAGTTTTCTGACAATATTTTGAAAAAAGAATCAACAATTCATATTTAAAAAAGAAGTGTTATTTGAGTTAGAGATTATAGAAACCCAAGGATTACATCCAAATAAATAAACTGTTTGTGACATTTCGGCAACAATTCATCTATTTAGATTCCGTCTCGCTAACTTCTAGACAACATATTTGGATAAATAGCATATACTATCAGGACACAATCAAGGATATGCTTTTAGTTCTTTGTCAAATCTTGAAGAAGTTATCTTAAGAGTTATTTATGATAAGGCACAATTTGGATTATAAACACAAGGTAATAAGACCAAATCCAAATAAATAGTGTGTGATGTTTGGGTAACAACGCTGTTACCAAAAATGTCACACACTATTTATTTATTTGGATTTGGTCTTATTACCTTGTGTTTAAAGAGTTATTTAGTAATGCCACCAACAAGTCACCTTTGGTCACGTAGAGATAGAAGAAGTCACAGTAGAGGACAGTCTGCACAATGCCGGCCACCACAGCGATGGGATCAATGAAGCCCTCGAAGTAGTAGCGGTAGATCCAGTTGAGGATATAGAGGGCGCGGTAGGAGCCCAGACAGAAGAGGTAGTGGGAGGTGATGGTCTCAGCCTCCCCTGTCTTAGACACCATGAAGAGCTGGGGCAGGATGGCCACAGACTCCAGGTAGATGGAGAAGGTCCACAGCACCTGCTCACAACCTTAGTGACAGGAGGGGGACACATTTATATATATTGTTACATGATGGGATAATACAGCTCTTTAATTCAGAACTCCCTAGTTTTTGACTACATCATCAAACTACACTAGAACCTGCGCGACGGGCGATGCAGCATGCAAATCAACATCTGATCTCATGGAATGGGGTGTAGGGGTGCAGCTTTCGTTGATCATGGCACCATGATCCAGGCACACTTTGGTGAAAGTCTGACTTTGCCTGTAGTTTGAGGCCGTTCCTAACATGGAAGCAGAAGCCTTTGCTGCCGACTAAGAAACAACAACAACAGTAGAACCTCTGCTGACTTTCCAGAATGGTTGTAAGGTTTTTTCCCACTGATAAGGCACAATTTGGTTTATAGATTATAAACACAAGGTAATAAGACCAAATCCAAATAAATCAATAGTGTGTGACGTTTCGGTAACAGCATTGTTACCGAAATGTCACACACTATTGATTTATTTGGATTTGGTCTTATTACCTTGTGTTTTTTCCCACTAAGTGCAGTCTGTATTGACTCATCCATTGATGAGCTCTACTCTTCCCCGGCAGAAACCATCAGAAGTCTCAAGCTTTACAAGCCTGATACCTTAATATGATTGAGTGGTGATAAGAAAGAAGAAGAAGACTAAGTGCAGTTCTCAACCTGCAACCCCAAAACACATCATTGACTATATTGACTCATCCCCAGCAGACACCATCAAAAGTCTCAAGCTCTACAAACTTGATACCCTATTGACTGTTTATCTCCATGCCAACCAACACTGTCAAGATCGTATATTGGTTCTATGAATTCGGTCTTCATTATCTTGTATAACCATACAATGAGATATAATGATAATTAAAAAAAGTAGGTTTACCTGAGATAACAAGAATTTAAAATGAAAAAAACTTTGAGAAAAAGAGGCTGTGTGATCCTCCACCCCAGCAAGCCATTAGGTAGACCAGACTCTTCTGGCTAAAGTGTCTGTTATTTCAAGAACAATGAATCTAAGTCAGTGGCCTGCCATTGAGTAGTGCTCTCAGTCTTAATGACAAAGGCAGGGCGGTTGGTGGAAGGCTGGTTAAACCGTTTGGTTTTCGACCACTACGACCCAGGTTCGATTCCCGCATTGGACACTTTTTTCTGTTTAAAAAAAAAAAAAAATGCTCCAATGGCCCCCCCGATTCTTGCAAAAGTCCAACCCCACCAGCGAGTGCAAGTAATCAAACGAGGCTCTGGCACATTTGTAAGTGAAAAGTCAAACTGCTTTCACATGTGTAGACATGTGGTGCGCTTACAGTAAAAAAAGCAGTCGCTAACTACCCACGAGATAAGAAAGAAGAAGATGACAAAGGCATTCTACTTCACCCAGTCATGATGGTTGTCAAACAGACACCATCAAGGGTCACAACTTGATACCCTAATATGATTGAGTGGAGATAAGAAAGAAGAAAAGAGAACAATGAATGCTGGCCAGGCATCCTCCATCTTCAAGAAAGACCAGACTCATCATTCCAGTCTCAGAAGACTAGATTTTAGAATAAAAATATATAAGACTGACTTAACAATCTGATAAAGATAGACAAATATGGCTTGATTCTGGACACAATTGATTAAAATAAATGGCCTCATCATCCTTACATTTATCTTCCCTTATTTTCCTATGTGTATTTCTGGGGGAAAGAAAATGGAATTTTTTCTTTTCTCACGTGATTTAAATTTCCTAAATATTACAAGAGATTTCTGGAGATGAGTTTTTTTTTATTGATGTAATCTTAAGCTTTAGGGAATCCCTGCCCTTCTATACAGGAGTATATAAAATGAATAATACTAAACACTGTTTATTATTAGTTTTACACAAACCTCCATAAAAGGATACTCGGGCTAGAGAACACCTCTCTACAAAGAACAGTTTTTATTTACGAAATTACCTTTTTTTTTCTATATAGCAACTCTCTGGCAAGAAGACATTTCTTCCTAAAGTATACTTTGGCTCTATCATTAGGTGTCCTTTACAAGGAGGTTCTACTGTGTGTACTCCTGTAGAGGGGCAGGGATTCCAGAAAGCTTGAGATTACATTAAGAACACAAGGTAATAAGACCAAATCCAAATAAATAAATAGTGTGTGACGTTTCGGTAACAGCGTTGTTACCATCTTCAGACAAAAGTACTGAATGAGAAATTTTACCACAGCATGTTTTAAATAGTTACTGTTATCAAGTGTGTAAACAAGATAACAGATAAGAAGAAGATAGTTTTCTGAGAAACACAGAATATTATTCTTAGAATCTATAATTATTTAAATTTATAATCTACTAGACGTATGACCCGGGTTCGCCCGAGAATTCCCCCGATTGCAATTTCCTTCATACTGAAAGTACATCAAAAATAAATATTAGAAGTGCTATAGAATAGCAATACAGAAGTAACACATAAACTACAGGAAAAAAGTGTGTGTGATGGCAAAAATTATATTATATTAGTGTTTAGGTATTTGATTTAATTAATATAGTTGATATAATAATATATATTTATATTATATATAAAATAAATGAGTTTTAAAAATTGTAAAAAAAAAAAATGCATCTGCCGGGAATCGAACCCGGGCCGCCGGCAAGGCAGGCAAGCATTCTACCACTGAACCACCGATGCTTATAAAAAATGGCCATATTTGGGTATTCATTCCATTCCGGATTACTCCGCGTAAAAAAAAAGTTCTTCAAATGAAAAAAAGAAATAGCCAAAAATACTAATCAAAATGTAGCCGAAAATTTTCCTCAGGTTTATAAAAAGCGACATGCAAAATTTGGTACCAATTGGTTCAGTAGTTTTTGAGTTTATCGCGAAACAGACAGACATTGACTTTTATATATATATAGAGATAATCAAAATTGTGTCTTATCATTACATTAAGAAAACGAAACTCCAGAGAAACCTGTTGTATTTTAAGTTTTCTTTTCCCAAGTTTCCCCATTACAGAGGATATATGGGTGTGTGTGTGTGTGGTTATACTTAAAATTAGCCGCCATCTCCGGCAGATGTTCACCATCTGTTACTGCCATCTTGTTATCCCATAGAAATACTAGGGTGACGGGAGGTCTATTAAGATCTTCTGCCATTTGGAAGAGCAATACAGTAGAACCTCCATGAGTGTCCATATACAAAGGATTGCTTTCATCGCCAAAATCACCAATTAGTGGAACACCTCTCTCTAAAGGATACTTTGGCTCTGTAACTAGAAGGTGCCCTTTAAAGTGAGGTTCTACTGTGTATGGACTAGAGCGGCTTTTCCCAACCTTTATTTATATAAAAGAAAAAAAAAATGCATACTAAAATGGTATCATTTTTGGTTGATACAGTTAAACCTCCATGAGAGGACACTTGCACTAGAAAACACCTCTCTATAAAGGACAGTTTTCATTTGTAAAATTATCATTTTTACTATTTAGCAACTCTCTGGTAAGAGGGCGGCCATTTCTTTTGGAGCTAAGTCGGCCTGCCACTGAGTAGTGCTCCCAGTCTTAATGACAAACGCATTCTACTTCACCCAGTCATGATGGTTGTCAAGTCTCAAGCTCTACAAGCTTGATACCCTAATATGATTGAGTGGAGATAAGAAAGAAGAAGAAGGTAAGAGGACACCTCTCTTTAAAGGATACTCTGGCTCTGCAATTAGGAGTCCTTTACAGGGAGGTTCTACTGTATATATATTTATTAGCACTCACATTAAAACAACCATAGAGATGAGAGAATTGAGTAGATAAATTAATAATCCAAAAATAGAGAAATTTCAATGCAATATCCTTTAGGAATCTTCTTCTTCTTTCTTATCTCCACTCAATCACACTAAGGTATCAAGCTTGTAAAGCTTGAGATTTTTGATGGTGTCTGACGGGGAAGAGTAGAGCTCATCAATGGATGAGTCAATACAGTCAATAATATGTCTTGGGGTTGCAGGCTGAGAATCCTTTAGGAATAAGTTTCCTTTATTAATGATAAGGCACAATTTGTGGATTATAGATTAGAATTACAAAGTATAATAAGACCAAATCCAAATAAATAAAAAGTGTGTGACCTTTCTTTAACAGTCTTGTTACCATTTTCCGACAAAAAAAAAAAAAGAGTTCTGAATGCCTTCTGAATTTCATTCATTGTCTAAAATTGGTAACAATGTCAGTACAATTTACTTATTTGGAGATGTGGACATGTTACCTCTTAAGTATCTAATCTATAACCCATACAATTGTACCTTATCATGATAAAGCACAATTTGGATTATAGCTACAAGAAAACAAGAGCTAATCCAAATTGATTAATAGTGAGTGACGTTTCGGTAACAGCATTGTTACCATCATCAGACAAGAGAATAAAATCCTATTTTAATATATAATAAGATATTTTTTGTCTGATGATGGTAACAAATGCTGTTACCGAAAGGTCAGACATTATTAATTTATTTGGATTAGCTTGAAGTTAGAGGTTGCCTGGCCAGCATTCATATTTCTTTAAAAAAAAATACACTTCAGCTAGTTAAAGTTTTATTTTCTCAATGTTTCAACAAAAACTTTTGTCTTCGTCAAGAGAAATAAATAAAAATAAAGCCTTTGGCAAGGCATAAAAATTGAACAAATTTTCAATTTGAAATGTTAAGAAAATAAAACTTGAACTGGCCGAAGTGTATTTTTTAAAAGAAATATTTGGATTAGGTCTTATTTTCTTGTATGTACCACCTTATCATGTTACTTTAAATGTCAGAATGAATGAAGAGGGAAAAAGAAGAAACAACAACACCAGAACAAGGGAATACAGACCTCCAAGGGTGTGAAGTCATGGTTGAGAAGCAGCGCCAACACTAGCGCGGGTCCCACCAGGAACTCAATGCGCAGGGTGTCGTGGTTGCGGTCGTAGGTGGCCTTAAACTTGGCCCACATGAGATAAAGCGTGGCGTAGGAAGTCCCCAGGAAGACCACCTTCATGACGGAGTTGTAAAGGGATACATAGTTGGTGACCAGGTCCAGGTACCGCGTGGTGTACACCAGGGCAAATAACACCTGGCTTCTGCCTGATATACCTGTACCACAACATCCATTGTCATTGATAAGACACAATTTGGATTATAGATTATAAACACAAGGTAATAAGATAACCTCAACAAGATAGCCAGAAATCAATATTACTTAAATTTTGAAATAATCGCATATACAGTATTTTACATTAGCATATTCCCCTATAGTTTCAAACTCCAAACAAAAAAAATTCCCTATTTACTTATTATCTCTCTAATTATAAAATAGTCATAACAAATGCAAATCCTCATTTACATAATTTATTCTGCAAATATGTAAATAGTTATGTGTATATATTCTCTTTTTAGCCATTGTACCTGCATTATAGTGCCACGTTTGTTGCTATAATCACGCCTGTAGAAGGGTTTTTCGCCCGAAAGCTTGCTTCGATATATTTCTATTAAAGAAACTCTTCTTCTTTTATTTCGTCTTGTCTTCTAAAAAAATAGTGCGATGTTTCGGTAACATCATTGTTACCATCTTCAGACAAAAGTACATTCAGTACTTTTGTCTGGTAACAACGCTTTCACTGAAAAGTCACACACTATTTATTTATTTGGATTTGGTCTTATTACCTTGTGTTTAACATCTGTCATTGTTCACACAACAATAAAAATGACTAGAAGTTGAGTTCTTATAGGCAGAGCATATAGAGGTGGCAGTTTATGTTTATCAATCTTGCCCTATAGAGTATCCCAGATTCAATTAACAATTCTTCCAGATTCTGCAGTAATTGAGAGTGTGCGGCCAAATCATAAAAAGAGATTTAACATCCAATGAACACATAATTTGGTCTTAATGAAGAAACACATCGTTTAGCTTTTAGTTTTTGTATTTAAAAGTAGTATTGATGATTTACATGCATTTAGAGGTAAAGTGATGGCATTATAGACACACTCGTTTGTACTCCATGTTAGGAGCAGCTGCACATGGCATCTGTTCCTCATGTCAGAGTCGACCATTTCTTTTGGAGCTAAGTCGGCCTGTCACTGAGTAGTGCTCCCAGTCTTAATGACAAAGGCAGACACATTCTACTTCACCCAGTCATTATGGTTGTCAAACAGACATCATATCAAGGGTCACAACTTGATATCCTAGTATGATAAGTGGAGATAATAAAGAAGAAGATAGACACAGAAACACAAGCTTCTACCAAGACTGTGATGTGTTAACCCATATGAGATAGCACTGTTCAGTAACAGAATACTGCGGGGATAAACCAGGGGAGAAGTAGATAGACATCCCTGTAGGTAACTACCAGTACTGGCAAGTGATGGAACAGCTCTCCTGACCAGAACATTGGTTAGAATAGGGTCATCACAATAATGGGATGGTGAAGACAGCGAGGAAACCACCGCCATAACATTAAGTATTTTGTTTGCAGGTCTTTAAGTTTGGAAGTCAATTTTCTATCAATACAATTTGATTTATAATTTTTGTTTTAGTGTATTAGTAACTTCAAATCTTATATTTGCTGTCTCATTAGGGTTAAGAAGCATTAGGGGGAAATCTGAAACAAAACAAAAAAAATTGGATATTATTTCAAAAACAGAAGAAATATGCAAAATTCTTAACCCTAATGAGGCAGCAAATATAAGATTTGAAGTTACTAATACACTCAAACAAAATTATAAATCCCCAAGTATTTTAAAGTCCAACTTCCTTTATATTGAATTAAAGATGAGGTTGAATTATAGTGGGTTATGGAGATTGTCAATTCACCCAATATTCACTTCTATATAGTGGACTTTTTTCCTGGACATCTATGTTGTCAACACTTAAGGGAGTGTTGGAATTTTGTGATTGGATTATGGCAGGTTAAAGTAGATAAGACTGATTGGGATTTGAAAGAAATGGTTAAATTATATCAAATGCTGAATTAAACACAAGGTAATAAGACCAAATCCAAATAGCGTGTGACATTTCGGTAACAATGCTATTATAAAATGTCACAAACTATTGATTTATTTGGATTTGGTCTTATTACATTGTGTTTATAATCTATAATCCAAATTGTACCTTATCAAATGCTGAATTATTATATGTTGGTTTATGAAAAACTCTATCTATTACTCGACATTTTGGTGACCTGCTGTAGCCCCTTCTTTTTCACTAACTTTTGTTTATCTATAAAGTTTGAAATATTTGGTTGAATAGGTAAGGAAATGGTTGGGATTTGAAAAATTTGTTGAAGTAAAGCAAGTATTAAAGTGGAATAAATCAACATTTAGTTAATAATTATTTCTATAAATGGCGCTTTGCTATAAAAAAAAAAAAACCTCATTTGATTGGCCAGAATATGACTTGTTTTCATATCACTCACTACCAGACATCCTTTTTTTTTTCTAACTTTTACATTGATAAGGCACAATTTGGATTAAAGATTATAAAACACAAGGTAATAAGACCAAATTCTGTACATTCAGTAGTCTGAAGATTGTAACAACGCTATTACCGAAATGTTACACACTATTTATTTGGATTTGGTCTTATTACCTTGTGTTTACATTTACATTCTTTATCGACCAAAAGCTTTGGCTAGTCTGGACTTTTGCATGCCTGATCTTGCTGTCTTGGATATTAGTT